TTGGACCTGAACCAAATGCGAAGCTGCCGGCAGCTCGTTCCCATGCTTTCCCACTCAAAAGTCCCTGTACTATATAAATATCCATACATGNCTTGCGGGACTATTGTTACGGGTCTATGTCAGACCCCCACCGCGACCGCCATGTATCAGCGTACGTAGCCATCCTACGTGTCGACCGAGGCTATTACGCATGGGACGACCTGATCACACCCGCCGAAGTGGTTACCCCCCTTGGAACGAACTGAACACGCCTCAGCAAATGAACCAGACTCATCCATGAGTACGCAGTGGATGCAAAGGCCTGCACTCTGTTTCTACAATTGCTACAACGCCTCACCTGCCTTACCTCGTCGTCAAAGATCTCTTATACCAAGATCTTTCCAAGGTCAAATCCTTGACTGATGGGACATGTGGCAGGTCCCCAAACGGTCAATTCCACTGCCATGTCAGGAAGCATTCAATTCCAGCCAACCTATGGATGGACAGATTGACGCCTAGGAGAGGACGGCCCTTCTAGATCTAAAGCCACGTGTCTCCTCATCCAACGGCTCTTCTCTTTCCAGCCTTACTATAAGTATCCCCTCCTTGCGCCAAAAGAAGGATTGTAATCTCATATATTCTCCCCTACACATTGCGAAATCAAGTATTATCTTCTCCCACATATTGTTGGCACTTCCATACTTAAACCATTTCCCGGCGAGTGACTTACCGTCGGTGAACTTCCTGTGGAATATTAAACTGACTTGACCGTCGGAGTGCTTGCGGCCGCTCACAGCCCCTTTGGGAAAGGCCACGAGCTATTAACGGCGCGCTGAGTGTGCAGGAAGAGCTGACTNTATCCTGTTGGCCACGTGTCCGAACCATTTTTCGAGGTCAACAGTATTCATAGGAAGGTAGACAATTGTAGTCAGGGCAGCACCTGTTTGGTTGTCTTTTTAAAATTTTTTTTTTGCCATTGTCCAATAAAATTGTGCTACATCCTCCCTGTAACGGCCCTGCCATTTCCCTGTACACCAAGCATGAGTAATTTTGTGGACATCCGCCTTGTGTTGTTAGTTCTACTCTTGGAGGAATCTTTTCTCGGGAATTGCAAGTTTCTTTCTCTTCCTCAATCATGAGATTCCACCTCAGTTTTCATAGCACATGTGGGAGTCATTTAATTTCAAATGGTTTGTTACTGTGTTGTGAAGTGTTCTATAACCTCACTTACAATGGCCAGTTGGGGATTTTTTTTTTTTATCTCTATGAGTTAAGCAGGATAAAGAAGCACCACACCACTAAAAAGAAAAGCACAAATCTAAAGAACTCTTTAGTACAAAATAATCTCAACTACCTTTGTTCAATAGTACATCAATAGTTAAAGGAGAGGAGAAATTAAGAAAGAACCACGAGATTGTTAGATCCTTCAGTTAGTAGCATTAGAACCAAGCAAATAATTGGCTAAAGAAGTCAGCAGCAGGAGAAAAAAAATGTTAGGACGTTGTGATAAGGGGCACACAATTCCAACTGAAGTAGAAATGAAAAATAATGAACACCTAAATTTTACGTAGACAAACCACGAGCAGATTGTAGAAGGATTTCACTATAGCAAAAGGATTACAAGAATTGCTCTTTAATAGGAAGAGCAAATTGACAATACCCGCTTTTATGCTAGGAGAAATTACTCTCTCTCTCTCTAATAAAAAGAAAGAAAATATTTAGGAGAAATCTCACTAATTTTTTTCTCTCTAAAAATACTCTCTCTTTCTCTATGGTTTTTAGTTAAGAAAATGGGATAATATGTTGAAGTATATAGGCATGTATATATATAAAAAAAGGGATGAACCGTATCTTTGGCGGTCCCCACCTGCCCTGCCATGGACCTTGGTGAAAGAGGTAAATCGCAGGTTATGCCTCTAAGGGTACAGGGTAGAAGGCTGTTTTTATACTTGTACTTACCCAATGGCCAAATCCATATTTCAGGATTTGAACCCTTGACGCGGCACCCTCAAGCAAAGTTGGAGTTTTTCCACCTTCCCTTTTTACCATTTGAAGATGTGCCATGAGGGTATATAGGCATGTATATATAGACAACAAAGGTGGTGGTTTTGGCTCATGATTGTCAATTTTAACCAAGAAGAAAAATATTTCTTATCCTCTTCCATTTGTTGCCAACTTTGACCTACAAGAAAGTGGCTTTAACACCGCAAAAAATACACCACCTTAACACCGCAAAAAATACACCACGAAATCGTAAGCCCCGTTTAGTTAGTCTCATTAGGACCAAGTGAAAAACTATAATATTATCGGCTAAAGAACTCCGGGCTTGCGCAATTAGGGCTCCACGAGGCCACCCAATCCTAGGGTTGCATCCATGCAAAATTATGGCCGGGGACTTTCCTAGGGCTGAAACCTACGACGCAGGTATACCCTCCGTTCACTTTGCCTCGTGGCAAACTGGACAGAGATAAAATCTATATAAAGGCATTCATTAATTCTTCTCCAGCCGATGTGGGACGCGATAATCTCAAAATTCTTAACACATAATCATTTTTAAAGGGAAAAAAAAAAAGAGAAGAAGCAAAATCGGGGCCCATCTGGCCTCGTTGAGGTCCAATCTGCCTAAATTATTTAGACCAATAAAAGTAAACGGTTGAATCTTCTTTATTCCTAAATTACTCGATATGAATTTCTTTTTCAATTAATTAATAATGACGAGATTTTAGTTAAAGTCTTGTTAACTGCATGATTTTTCCGATTTGCTGAATTAAGACTATCATTAGCTTAAGTGATTAATCATACCAAAATGCTCATTAATTCAACAACTCTGAACGTCCATGTTGACCCACCTTTGAATTTTAATCCACCCGAGAATATAATTCTACCCCCATCCCCATGCTTGGTAGCCATTTTCAATTGATTTGCAGAAAAATTATGTCCGCCATACAGCAAAGAAGCAGCTGCAATTTTTTACCCAACCTACCAAAATTATCAATTTGCCCCTTCACATAAATTTATCCTGAGTTAGATGAACGACAATTCCGTATTTATGCTACCTGTGCAATCAGAATACATTGCCGCCGCCCACTGACAAGACAAAAAATGCATTTTTCTTTTGGGCCAGAATGCCTATCGAACAAGGGGCGGCTAAGAGCGTGTTTGAGAGCAATTTTTG